GTGTCATTGACAATGACTTGTTTTTGGTTAAAATTTGTTCATATTAATTCTCTAATTAGCTAATTCGTTTTGTTCTGTTCATAATAGTTACCTGATTTACATAATTAGTTTTCAGCTTTTCCATCAATATCTCATGTACAAGTAATTTTGAATTAATTTTTAATGTGTCTTCAATACTCTCAGCACACAGGAGTTCTTTCTAAGCTTTCTTTGATTTTATTACTAGTATTGTGTGAATCGACAAATAACTTGCCAGATCAATCACATTTGTATAGTTCCTGATGATTGATTTCAGCAGGAGAAAACTTTTCTCAAATTCAATAATATGGGACATTGTTATACCAAACAAAGTTATAGCCATGTCACCCTGGACTCAACTTTATAGTGAAAGTCATCTAATATGACTTGGGTGTAGGTACCGGGTAATATGTCTTATTTTTTAAGTTTTATTTTCAAGTTGTTACTGACCTGACTGGAGCATTGATAGATATTACTATCTTATATTGTTGCAGCTACATGAGATTGATGTAGGTATTTCTGATAGACTATCAGAAGATGATCTACAGTGTGATGTGGCTTGTCTTATTTATGATATCAGTGACCCCAGGACATTTGAATATTGTGCTAGGATGTACAAGGTAAGATTATTTGAATTCAGATACAGGGTTTAGAACTCCCTCACATGTTTTATAGTTTGAATATTCCCACCATAGAGGGCGGTTAACTAGATTTGCTGTGTTGTGAATGGTGTATAATGTACATCTTAATGGTGAAATATAAATTAGAAGTTGACCTTTTCACTGACGCTGTCAAGTGTTGTCACATTTCACTCTATCCAGGATATTTTCATTGAAATCCACAAACTATTTGATCATATTGTTCATGATTATCAAATATTTTATTTTTCACAGCGTCATTTTGTGAGGAGCACTGTGCCTTGTCTCCTAGTGGCTTCTAAAAGTGATCTTCATCCAGTGAGACAGGATCATGAAGTCCAACCAGCTCAGTTCTGCATAGACAACAAATTGCCTCCACCACAAACGCTAAGTGTTGTAGGAAGGGCAAACAGAGACATATATACAAAACTAGCCACTCTAGCTGCATACCCGTAAGTCTTTTTTATTTAAATACAGCCCTTTGTATTAGTATGCATGGATTTTTGCCCCCCCCCCCCTCCCATAAATTTTTTTTCAATCATGGTGATTTTTGTGCAATTTTTTGTTATTTAGTTAATTTTGAACAAGAACGATGTAATTTGTTTAAACTGCTTGAATAACAATAGTTTTCTGTTCATTTTTTCTGTTGGTATTCAAAGGTAAATATGGCTGTATTTCTTGAGTGATACTAAAACCCTAACGAAATAACCGACTTACCAACTCACTGCATGAAACTAACAAAAGCACAAACATTTTTACATTTTTTGAGAAAAAAAGCATCTGCAATTCTGTCATTGGATTTACCCATAAATTGGTAATTTCCTCATATCCATTCGGCATTGGCGTGCATATTTTTTACTTTTTTTTTTTGTTTGTTTTTATTTGTTTGTTTACTATTGCAGTATCGTGAAAGGTGTACATATACTTCACCCAGCAGCTGTTTGGATCAAAGCTAAACTGAGAGATTCCTTCCCACACAGGTTAAAACTATCTTTCTCTTTCATCCTACATTGATATTATATGTTTTGGTGTCACGTGTATTTTTACTTTGCAGATTTTCTTTCTGTTATGCCTTCTTAGTTTTGATTCACTTTGTTGTTGAGGCCAGTCATTCACCATGGCGATGATTCTATTTATGTCTGATTTCTGCTTGAATATTTTTTTTTTACCTTAGGTCAAAGGTTACATTTAGTTTCGCGAAAATACAATATTTGTCTATTGAATAAAAATCAATAATGAAAATCTCATGCAAATTGATAATCATTGAATAGTAAGTTGATATCACATGACTTAATACCTGTTAGTGACACTACTACTTCTGTTTGATCAAAACTTCAATTCTAAGAAATCTAAATAGAAACAGTAACTATAATTTTAAAATGCAAACATGTCTCTTTTGGTGTCCCATGGCAAACATATGAATGTAATTAATGATTTGTTTCAGTTTTGTTTCTTAATTCAGTCATAATTTATCCCTTCATTGGATGTTTGTATTTCTCCATTATTGACCACAGTATATTTTATTTTCAGTTTGTCAAACTAGCATGGCTGTAGCTGCTGCACTCACTAATTTAACTAACCCTATCTCATTTCAACTTGTTATTTGTTGTTCCCTGCAAACCGCTTTTTTCTTTATTGTATGTAGTATATAGCATGCTGTGATGTGTATGGATTTTGTGAATTTGGGGATAGTATATGTGTCCTCGACATATTTCTGCCAAATAAAATAGTTCAGCTTATTGTCTGATTGCCAAACTTGTTACCTCACTGATATTTTCTGTTATTTCTTGTTCTAATTTGCATGTTGTTTTTGCATGAAATCACATTGCATGGGACCAGATTGAAGCAGAACTGGCTTGAGCCTGATGGGTGGAGCCAAGATGAGGCAGAGTTGGTTAAACCAAAATGCTTGGGACCAGGCTGAAGCAGAGCTGACTTTAACCAAAATAGGTGGAACCAGACTGACGGAGATCTGGCTTGAACCACAATGGGTGGGACAAGGTTGAAGCGCAAGGGTGGGACAAGGTTGAAGCACAGCTTGCTTGAACCACAAGGGATTGGATCAGGCTGACTTGAACCACAATGAGTGGGACGAGGCTGAAGCAGATCTGACTTGAACCACAATGAGTGGGACGAGGCTGAAGCAGATCTGGCCTGAACCACAATGGGTGGAATGAGGCTGAAGCAGATCTGACTTGAACCACAATGGGTGGAAAGAGGCTGAAGCAGATCTGACTTGAACCACAATGGGTGGGACGAGGCTGAAGCAGATCTGACTTGAACCACAATGAGTCGGACCAGGCTGAAGCAGATCTGACTTGAACCACAATGAGTGGGACGAGGCTGAAGCAGATCTGGCCTGAACCACAATGGGTGGGACGAGGCTGAAGCAGATCTGACTTGAACCACAATGGGTGGGACGAGGCTGAAGCAGATCTGACCTGAACCACAATGGGTGGGATGAGGCTGAAGCAGATCTGACTTGAACCACAATGAATGGGACCAGACTGAAGCAGATCTGACTTGAACCACAATGAGTGGGACCAGGCTGAAGCAGATCTGACTTGAACCACAATGGGTGGGACCAGGCTGAAGCAGATCTGTCTTGAACCACAATGAGTGGGACGAGGCTGAAGCAGATCTGACCTGAACCACAATGGGTGGAATGAGGCTGAAGCAGATCTGACCTGAACCACAATGAGTGGAACCAGGCTGAAGCAGATCTGACATGAACCACAATGAGTGGAACCAGGCTGAAGCAGATCTGACTTGAACCACAATGGGTGGGACGAGGCTGAAGCAGATCTGACTTGAACCACAATGGGTGGGACGAGGCTGATGCAGATCTGACTTGAACCACAATGGGTGGGACGAGGCTGAAGCAGATCTGACTTGAACCACAATGGGTGGGACGAGGCTGAAGCAGATCTGACTTGAACCACAATGAGTGGAACCAGGCTGAAGCAGATCTGACTTGAACCACAATGGGTGGGACGAGGCTGAAGCAGATCTGACTTAACCACAATGAGTGGGACGAGGCTGAAGCAGATCTGACTTGAACCACAATGGGTGGGACGAGGCTGAAGCAGATCTGACTTGAACCACAATGGGTGGGACGAGGCTGAAGCAGATCTGACTTGAACCACAATGAGTGGAATGATGCTGAAGCAGATCTGACATGAACCACAATGGGTGGGACGAGGCTGAAGCAGATCTGACTTGAACCACAATGAGTGGAATGAGGCTGAAGCAGATCTGACCTGAACCACAATGAGTGGGACGAGACTGAAACAGATCTGACATGAACCACAATGGTTTATTGAAATGAGTTGGACCAGGCTGAAGCAGATCTGACTTGAACCGCAATGGGTTTTCCCAGGCTGAAGCAGAGTTGGCTTGAAATTGACTTTGGCATGTTTAAGGTCATTGCCATGTAATGGTGTATGACTACCTGATTGAATAATGTCCAGTAAATTTTTCTCTCACTGTTCTTATCAAAAGAATATCTTCTAAGCCAAGTTCAAGCTCACTTCTTGTTTTTTTTTCTATTGGATATTTTTTATTGTGTTACCTTGATGCTTTATTTTTTATAACTTTCTTTATTTCAGCATGGCATTCAGTGATATATACACCCACATTGTCATTTTGCAGCATGTCAGCCTTATTTACTTCTTTTTTTCGTTTCTTAAAAGCATATTATTGTAGATCATGATATTTTCTAACTCCTGAATCTGCTTTCTTTCTGTCATGCTTGATGTCTCACCTTGGTGTTACCTCTATTCAGAATTAATTGCACTCACTCATTCTTTCTCAGGAAAAAAAATTGTATTTTAGGAATGTATTCAGAATACTTTGCAAGTGAGATTTAATACTATAGCCACTGTTTTAATCCCTGTTTACTAAATTAAATGTGTGTGGGTGTGTGGGTGTGTGTGTGTGTGTGTGTGTGTGTGTGTGTATATCTACATATTTATTTGAATTTGTACAAAGAAAACAAGTTATGGTTTAAATAAAACTGCTTGGAAAAAAAAAAGCAAAACTTTTATTTCAAACTTGGTACATGACAGTCATTTAAAAAATAAATTAAAATTTTGCTTTGTCTTGCTCAACAAGAACTGTGTCATGTCAATGACTTGTAATAATTATCTTATCTTATCTCAGCTTATCTTATCTCAGCTTACACAATGTATCTAGGCCAAGTTGACAGTGACCCCATTTTTTTTATTGATTTTGTTCAAAATTATTTTATGATATTCATTGTTTATTTTAGCAGGCAGTAATTGTTTAAAAAGCAACTACATTGGACTACTCCAATTGCTGTTTGTACTTAGATTCAACCCATTACCTGTTTCCGTCATTAACATCTATTAAATGGACCATAGCAATGTCTTTGTAGTTGTAACAACTTTAAAAGATCCCATGCTAATCTAAAGTAAATATGTTATTTATAACTAAAGAATATGTCTGTGTTGACAAAGCTGGTTTCTCCCAACAACACAAAGACAGATTTGTCAAGTATCTACTCACCATACTACTAGTACCCATATTCCTAGATATGACCTTCTTAATCATAGCCATTGTGTATTTAATATTCATCATTACTAAGGGTGTTTATAATGTAGTTGAGTTTATTATAAGTGTGGAAAACCAAGTATACTTTTGACTTGGGTGGGTTTTGTCCATCTAAAAATATATTTGAAATCTTCTTAGTGTTTTTTTTATCTCTCTAAAAAGTATACTTTAAATTGTCTTAATGGGTATTATCCCTCTAAAAAGTTTTAATTTACTTGAGTGGGTATTATCCCTCTATTGTATATTCACCCTTTTTAATGTGCATGTATTATTTACTCAAACATTTTAAAAGAAAAATCAAGCTCTTATATACGTACTAAACTACGGTTATTGTGCATTCTTGATGTGCTTAGCAGTTTAATATATCACTTTATATCAGGCAGTTATTTATTATTTACATAACAATTGTTACTTTACCATATGTATGTATGTATGTCACAGTACGGTAAGGGGAAATTTCGGACAAGTATATATCTATATCCTCACTGTATCTTGTTGCTTGGCGCATAACTTACTGTTGAAAAAGGGATTTTTTTGAAAATTTATGAAAAAGATAATTTTGTTTTTCAATTAAATGTTTAACCTATTTTAAAATGGCATGATAGTAAGATTTAACGCTTGGAGAAATAACAAAGTCATTGTTTCCATAGAAATAAGGTCAGGTATTCCTCTCTTTCCGCTCAGCAGAATATCAAGAATTTCCAACATTTTTTGGTTTGCTGTGTCCATAATTAAAGACATTTTTTCAATATACAAAAGGGAACATGGGAAATAGAATATGCGAATAACACTCACCATGGTATCCCACAATGCCACAGGGCAATCCCAGGGATTGCTAGGTTCATCTTTAAAATCTAAAAAATATGTTTTATATTAATTATAAAATGAGATTAGTAACAACTATGAATATGGTCAGAATGTTATTTCTGAATTGTATTTCAGCAATCATGAAATATAAAGAAAAAAAAAACTGTTTTGATGTTAATCTTTTATTTACTTTCTTTGCAGACATTTGTGTGGAATGCAGACTCGAAAAAAGAACATCTGGATCACCGTAAGCGTGTGTGCTGCTGCCGCTGCTGTCCTTGGTATCATTTTCTACAAAGTTGTCAGAACACCCATTAGATAACAGTATCATCAGATTTCATTGTACTGTGAATATCCTCAGCTATCAGTGTTGATTTGTTTGTTGTTGCAGCTATTGTAGTGAGCCATAATTATACCATACCATACATCAGCAATAACAGATTGGTTTAGTTTTAATTCATCATTGGCTGATCATGGTCAATTTGATCCCAATGAACCAATAAGAATAGTTCTAATACATGACATGTAACATACTGTCCAATCCCAGGACTTGTTGCTTATATTTTATAGTTTATCTGTCTATAAACCAAATTGTTATATATCGGATGATACAACCTTTCGTACCTGAAATCACACTGTATAGTCTTGTAAACCATATTCTTACAAGAAGACATAGAATGTGATCAGTTAAAGGAAGGGGAGTTATTTTTTTTTTCTCGATTTGACAAGGAATGCTCAGCTGTGACTTTGGAAAACAGAGAAAAATAAATTCTAAATGGTTTCATCTAAGCTGCTAGAAATTTGAAAAAAATCCCAAGACCCACAGTGAAAAAAATGTGCACTGCTGCAACATTATGTGATTTTTCATGATTTGTGAAAGTCACCAAAAATTGTTGTTTCTCAGAATTACCCTTCCATGTTTTAGCCAAATATACATCTTTAAGAGCCCACTATGTCAATATAAACAATTGCCTTTTTATATAATGATTGATTTTGTCTTTAGGGTGTAGTCAGAAATGCGTTTTGTGCAACTGATGTTTGCTTGTTTTTGTCGGTCTCAAATTAGCAGAGAAATCTTAGATATATGACCCAAACTGATATTGTATTGTAAATAAATGATGACTCCACAAGACAAAACCCTAATAATAATTTCATATTAAATATGCATATGTGTTACTGAAACATTAAATGGGCTGGTTTTATTTGTGCATCTCTGGTTTTCAATCTAATAATTTACTATTTGGCATTGAAGCCTTTGTTAAACCGAACACATACAGTCTCCCACAAATAATTTTTACTATGCATTTTTTTAAACCATACTGTAAATGTATTATTTTCTGGACTTCAACACATTATTGTGACATTACCAATTTACTGTGGCCGAAATAAATTATATAACTTTATATGGGTATGCTACAAGTATAGGCAGAAATATTATAGCTTCTGTGTGACAACTTTTTCACCTGCTATATATTGTGTTAGAAGTGCATGGGTCAGTATGAATCTCTGTTGGGGATTTGCTTCTAACAATGCAAATACCATATTGACTATTATTTGTATCCCTCTCTTCCCTATGATGGACATATAGAAACCCTCTTATCGCAATGATTAACTGCTCAAGTATAAGCTACCGGTATCTTCATTGTTTTTCTACATTCTGTTGAAATTTCAGTTGGTCATAAGTTGTATTCTTGACAGTTTATATAAATAACCAATGTATGATGCATTTCTCCACTTACATTCATGCAAGTATTTCAAATATTTGCAATACTGCTCTTAATTAATTATAACTATGATAAGTCAAAGATGTGTGTAAACTCCACTTACTGTCACCACCATATTTTGTTTTGCATGCCAAAACAACATTTCTAGCTAAGTTAATGACTGTTTTGCTATGCATTGTTTTGAGATTGTTGTGTTGGGTAAAAGTTGGATAAAATCAACACAGGATGTCAGGAGGGACATGTTGAATATCAATAAAAGATGCATTTCCCTTTTCAAAATTCAATTTCAGCCAGTCATTTAAATTGCTGCATCACAAATCTCAAAAATTAAACAAAAGGCATGTGTTGGTGCACTCTTGTACACCAGTCATTGATGCATGGATGATGCTACTAAGTAGAGATGTTAATCATGCATTCTCAATATGTACTCTGTATTTTTAATATAGCTGTATTATTATGACTGGTTTTATAAACCTGTAAGTGATTCGTCTCGTTGTCTTTCATAAAAATGGCTTGATCCAATCAGTTCAGATGTTGATGTGCAGAGCAGTCAGCAACTTAGCTGGCAATCTTGCTGTCTGGCAATATGGTGTTGGAAGTAAAGACCTTTAGAAATTTGGACACTAGTATTTTTAGCACTGTATAGTTAAATGGACATTTTTGAGGAGTTTGAGGGTTTATGTGGAGATGTGTCTGTCTTTTAGTGCCATCAGTCATATGTTAAGTTTGTTTTTTTACAAGTCAATTGATTAAAATACGTTTTATCAATGGAACAACTGTTTTATTTCATTAGCACACCACCATGAGTGAAAAGACAGGAGTGTGGAATGCCAAGCAGCCCTATATGTATATTGATATAAAGTTATTTGAATCACGTGTAAATTGCGATTAAATATGGAGCAAATATTAATTTACAATTGGGCATACCAATTAACTAGTTGCATTTTGTTTGGTTCTTAAAGCTGTATTGTCGGCAAAACTTAGTTAATTTAACTTAGTTAACTTTTTAATTGTTAGTAAGTAAGACCAAAATCAAATCTGACAGCTATGACGTTCGTGAGTTGTTCTGATCAAAACATGACTCATTCTGTCGTTTCTCGGCTAAAGAGAGAGAGAGCCAATACTTTGAGGTCGAATTGGAACTAGTTCGCATTGCTTCTGGCGACATGAGGATCTGTTGCGTGTAACCAGAGATTGTATTTGGTGTAATGACCCACTTTCGATTACTCATTGTAATTGTTACCATCAATGTGCACAGTTCCGTGTCCAATTGAGAACTATATAATACATTGTTTTGGTGGAAATTCCAAGTTTAATGCGGAATTAGTGAAGTCATGTGATGATCAATTAGTCAAGCTCTAAATATACTCCCCCTCTCCGTCACGCACGTCTTCTGGAAACCCTATAGTGGTACTTTTCTGACATGCAAATGTACACGAATTAATGATTAGAGCATTCATAGAGACATTTCTGTGTTTCTGTAACCATGGTATAATACTATATACAATTATCTCCGTACACCAAGCCCTTTCCCTCCATTTTTATCATAAATATATAAAAGCCGAGACAACCAGATCGTAAGTTAACGTTTTTTTCAAAAGAAAAAAAGTTATCGGTCAAATTGACAGAATTATGGAAATCGCGATGCTGTGCAAAAAAACACTCATACGTGGTAAAAATGCCCGATTCAAAATAGATAGTCTTTCTGAGAACCCGCTCAGGAACACAGAAAGGAATTTTTCCGAAGATGTACAATATGTTGTATATGTTATTAATAAATTTAAATACAAATATTAGATCTAGAACATGTCTTTAAGTTCGTGATTCTAGTTTACATGAATTTGTATCACTTCAGAGGGCCCGGGTGTTTTAATATTTAAATAACGGCAGATTCGACTTTCGATGAAATATCGTTCACTGTTCAAGTGCATCTAATAAGATTCAATAAACAATATAAATATCCATATCGACATCAAAATGCTAAATTATTCATAAAAAGACTTAAACATGCCATAGTTCTGAAAATATTGCTTACTGATTAAAACAATTCTGACACATTTATCGAATAATTATTATTGTAATTTAAAATTCCACATTAATTTTTCAAGGCCGACATGTACCGTAATACTACACTTCACAATTGTTTAAGAAATGTGATCATTTGAAATACAACTATCAAGAGCAAGTGACACTACAACTATAAATTATTATAAATGTAGAGGAAGGATATGTTTTTGAATGAATGAGATATATGTAACTGTGGAGTTAGGAATGCCCCTAAAATAAGTATATATACTCATACTCTGTCATTGTTGATTGATATTTAATCAACGCTTTTTAAAACAGGACTTATTCAAAATATGATAATTTCAAATAGAACTTTATTGGTCGCAACCTATTGGTAATAAAAATTGCAATATCCTCTCAAGTATTATTTCCTTGTGTTTGCCCACGCCACAGACTGTAAGAATATATATGATTGAACTGGGTAAACATTATACTCTTCTGTTTAAGATCACCGTTGTGCCTAACATTCGTGACTGATACTGGGAATCTTGTTTGAATGTACCACTTTTTATACAACATTTTGGTTCTCAATGTTCTAATGGGATTTTGATCCATATTTAATTGAATGACTATAAATCATAAGTTTAATTATTTTTCAGAACACTACTTGTTATTGGAATACAGTGTTTTACTGTATTACTTATTACATATTTATTATTACTAATTGAGTGATGTATTGATCCAGAATTCCTCGTGGCACCTAATATGAATAAATTTGGAAAACCTAGAAATACGGGTTTCTAAACGGGGACACAAATATGATCACGCGAACTGAATTGCTCTTTTATTTCGTCGTGTTATTTTAGAATGTTTCTCAATTAAATATTTTTCCCATAGTAACAGTGGAGATAAGACATCGATTCTTCTATTCCATATTTGGTTTACTCTTCAAGGAAGGAATGGGAAAGCCATCACTAACTGTGACGGTATATAATATTACACCGAGCTGCCCAGTGTTAGCTTTTACACACTCACGCACGCCACATGAACCAATTCAAAACTGGTAGTTATAAAAAATACTTACAAATATCGTAAATATGGAATATCACATCATAATAAGAAAAAAATGCATGTTAATAACTGTGAGTAATTCCCTTAAATGTATTTCATATAAGTTCCTCATCTCAGTGGGGTTTGAAATATGAACGTCTTCCTGGTGCTCGAGGAAGCAAAGGGGATAGCTGGTACAGATTACAGGAAATAAAAACGGCATTTTACGTTTTTACATGAAACAAAATTTCATTTACAGTAAAAAAAATAGGTTTTTACATTTTACAGATAAAGCAAATTCCCAATTACATTTTTATAATATGTTTGATAATTTGAGTTTAAGAATCAAAATTGGAAATTGCGACATTCATTTTTAATCTGGAAAATACTTTATACTATGCTTGCAAACAATAATATCTTTGTGCAAATTACATTTTACGCCTTGCCCATGTCTACGAATTGACGTTTTTTATTTATTTAAATTACATTATTACGAAAATAAAAAACACACTTGATTACACCTTACGAAAATACCCCTTGCCGACCCACTTAGTTGTCAATATATCAAAACACAGTCTCTGAATAACGAAGTTTTGGTATAGTTCACAAAGGCTCATGTTTCAGTTCATTGAATATGAATTTGGTATGAGATAAGCATCGTCATCAGTTGGGTTTTTACGCTATATAAGGAAGTGTCGACAATGCCACTTACAAATATCGGTTAATGAGTTAAACTCAATCGCAGACTAAAGTTGAGTGGACGTCACGGACTACAATTTGTATGGTTACCCAATGACGATCTGTGCACCAGACGTAAGTACATACGAAAAACTCGTTAAATACATACCGAAACTTGGACCAAGATTTTATATTGTGAGATTTAAATTTGATTATTATAAATTTAAAAAAAAAAAAAAAAATGCTGAGGCTGAGGCTTCTTGAGTAAATAGTTAATGTTCAAATTTATTGCCGAACTCACTGTTCAGTTCAAATTAAAGAAGTACCAGTTTTTATCGGTTTTACAGTTTCCCTACTGTTGTGGAATCCATTCGCCACATGTATCTAAGTGTACTTAGTGCATTCTGATTTACAAAGCTTTTTCTAAAAAGTTTATTTTGGCTGGAAATTTCGCCTTAGGAATGTCCTATAAGTACAGTGAAGTGTTTTTGTCCCCATATAACTAGTTTATTAAACCACGTAAAATTCCTCGTAAGGAATTAAAATAGTTACACATAACAATGACATTTCAGAACAAGAAAACTAATACAAAACAAACTAGTACATAAAAAGACACTGGATAATCAAGAAAAGAATGACTAACTTAACAACATATGACAAGAATAACAAATAATCATATCTAAGATACAATCATAATAGACAACCATGTCTACTAACGAGTAATAAAATCTACATTGTTAATTGTAGTGAGATATTTTCCAAGTTTGAAATTGTTTTTTGAATTTCCAGAATATCAAAAATGCTAAACGTCCTTTTCAAAAATGAAAAATGTAAAATTGTCTTGTCTTTGCCATGGATGGGGTTAGATGACAGCAGAATCTTTTTTGACCAAATAACAAGTTCACTTCAAGTTTTTAAATTGGAACTTCTAAATCACATCACTGGCTATGACCTGTGTCAATTAATGCATACAGGAAAAATCAGCTCTTTGCGCTGGCGCATGTGCACTGTACAGTTTCGATAACGTGTTCATTAGTATTCAATGATGGACAGCCAGTATAGCGAGTAACCCGGATGTACCATTGACCATGCCTACAACAAAACAAAGGTTAACAGAGAACTGTTTTACTGCTTACTACTTCCGCATCTGCAGAGACAGTCCACGCTTGTTGATCTGTGTTTAAATCGACTTGGAAATGTAAATAAAAAAGGGTTTGCGTGATCATCGGGACACTGGCGTGAAGTCACTCGAATATACACTTCAACAGTGCCACATGAAAACGTTATTTATCTCAGGTAGGTGCAAGCTATAATTTTCTATAACTTTCCATGTGACAGACACTACCGAGGCAATGTATGTTAATATTAATAGTAATTTGTGCATTACATGGGTGTGCGCTTATGAATTATGACATCGTGATTATATCGGGTGTATATTAACATTACGTCTGACTTTGTTCAGATGGACATTACATTCCTTCCTTTGCCACCAACAACGATATATATTTAATCACCTAACATATCATCCATTAGAAAGATAATGGCACAGTCACTAGTGCACACAAACGCAGACAAAAAACAAAACAAAAGCATGTCCAAAGCTTTAAAAAATGTGAAATAGTGTACTTTGCACTTCAATATAACGTTACGTATTTGCGTTGTTAATCTGACTAAGTATGCAGCATCTATATTTATACACAATATACGCCCTGGGGGTGTGGTTAAAAATAAAAGTTAGGACTTCCTCTCTAGCTTGAATTTACAAAGCAGCGAAGATATTTAATTTAATTATAGAGTCAATATACTACTTGAGTTGAATCTTTATGGATTAATTCTATGATAATATTTGGGTAGTGCATAAAACGTACTCAATTCAATAACATGGTATGTATCAGAGCACTCGCTCGAAAGTGTAGATTTACAGACTGACTGTGTGTTTACCCATAGTTTGGGTCAGAGTCGAGTAAATATCTACACTTTTTAGTGAGTGTTTCGCACTTATATTACGACAAAATTGGAAGATAGAGCAATAAGTTGTGTGTAATGTGTGCGCTTTGAATAAGAAGCTCGGCGTGAGATCGTCACGTGGTTAATGTTTTGTTTGCTTGTGGGCGTGGCATGCTGGAGGGATTTCCCCTGTTCACCCCCCATTACACATAGTGTGTTTACTTAAATATTATTCATACAAAGTCACCTTCGTACACGCACAATGATTTCCGGCTATTTTGCAGGGTGTAATTGTGTTCAAACCTTTCTTCAAACTCTGTGCACAGTATAGTATACACAGTATACTGATTGACACAACACTGACTTAGGAAAGTACAGCAGTAAGATCACTAAAACTTCAGAACAGAGAAAAAAATTAAATAGAAAGCAACTAAATCAAAAAACAATAACAAACTATCTAGGAATTATAAGAAAAACAAAGACATCACGATTAAAAATCTAAAAAAAAAATCTGCAATTGTGTCCGTGACTAATAAATACAAAATAGTCACGGTGATAATGAAGTTAAAATGAATCAAATTCACACTTAATATTTAAATCACATAAAATATTAGGAAACAATTTCTAATTTGAGAAATTCATGAGTAAGTTGACGTCAATGATTAAGGAGGTGTTGGTGTCTTATTCTCAGGCTTCTTTGAATGAATTGTGCAATGTGAACCACGTTATGACTAATATTGTTCAGTCTGCAATGTGATCCACATTATTGCAGTTTATAATAACAAAACACACATTAAAGCAAAGAAAATAAATACGAGTCTCTACGTCTCTGGCCGGCGAACTGCCTCTGATTGATTCCAGAGCACCTATTTGACGATGCAAGTAAAATTTAAATGTTTTTCATGAGATATCAGAAAATTGTATATTTCCGAAAATGTAGGCAATCAACATAGATGGGTTTTAAATTAATCATGTTCTTTGGGGTATCCTGTGTAAAAATTCGTATCTGTTGTGTATACATTGTTTCAATTACTTCCATTGGTTGGACTTGCCTATATACAATAATTCTCTAATTATAATCATATTTATTAATGAGTCACATAACCATATATTCTCATTTAAAATGTCTTGTCCGATGTCTATCTTATATATAACACTGATTGCATTATGCTTTCATATATGCTTTGGTTGCACGCTCCTATATACAGCAATGCAACAGTTCTCTAGATATTATAGAATTATGCATAATAATGAGGTTACATGACTATATATGGTCATCTGATACATTAGTTATAACTATTGTCCAATGGTTTTATTGGTTCTTTATTACACGTCCCTATCTGCACCATTGAAATCAAATAGCTATGCATATCTATAACAGTTCTCTAGATATTGTAATTATGCATAATAATGAGATCACATGACTATATACGGTCATGTGATATGTTATTCATATGTGTTGTCCCGTGCCTTCATTATAGCATTTTTGTATGTCACCGTGACCATCTAAAACAATGCTTGATATGACACATTTGTCATATTATTGAGGTCACATGGCTGCCCCTATCACCAACACCAACATCAGAATTCAAATTTCTACATAAAACACAAATTCATATATACAATACATTTCTACAACGTATTTCTACCACCCTGCCCAAAGAGAAAGCACTTCCGTATTACGTAGACCGCACTATCGTACTGTGATACAGTATGGATCTAAAAAAATAAAGCTCCATCGTGGATACACTCTTTTCACAAAACCACTGTAGTAGAGTAATGTCTTCCTTATTTTTTGGGAAATATTGTTTGAAGACAAAAACTGGCCTGAACAGCGAAGTGAGACATATGTCTCACAAATCAGTTTCCTTCTCCCATGGGTAAAACCGCGTCTTGTGTTTTTATGTTTGAATTATGCTAATTCAGTCGCTTTGTGCAATTTCCCTTTTATAATAGTTAGCAGCAGTTAACTTTAAAACACATATATGTATGTTTCAGCAACTGGGAACGGTGTTATGTAGTATTTATTCTCGACATCGGATCGACACAGATTTGTTTGACAGGTTTATATCACAAGTTCAATGATAGTATCAGTCAATATTTCAGGTAATACAATTTATATTCACACTCATATTACATATTATGTTTTTATATTTGTGGAAATAACCCAACCTCCTTAAGGTCACAACGTTCACGTTTAAATGAAAGAAGTTGTGTTATTTATTAAATAGTTTCAAAATGGGAATTTTGATCTACGCGCGTGCGTGCGTACGTGTGTTCCGCCTGTATATCGGACCATGGAGGTAAAAAAAGATCTTTTTTTACCTCCATGATCGGACATTCCAGACATATCGATTACATTCAAACTTAACACATGCATCATGCATCATGAAATATATTTGTACGTCAATTTGTTTCGAGGTTCCGATTCAAGATGACCGAATGGCGGTCTTTTTATGCAAAAAAATAACCAAAAATCAAGCATTTCTGTCGTTCACAGAACTGGACATTTATAGACATTATGGGACCATGATATACGTCATTTTTTCGGGTTTAATATTGCCGACTTTTGTTTTAACGAATGGGGTTCAAGAGCTATATCTCCGACATTCCCTCGTCGACCATGTACAACATGTATTCATCATACACCATGTCACATATGCACATTACTTTGTTTGGTGGTCCGATTCGAAATGGCTGAATAACGGGAATTTTAATGTTGAAATTTCACTAAAATCAAGCATTTTTGTCATTTCGGAACCAGATCTCAGTTGTGTATGAAGCTTAACGCGCGTCATTTGTCAGATCAGATTGAAAATGAAAGGTTGGCGGCCATTTTGTTCTAACGGATACTGTTCCAGAGCCATATCTCTGACATATCTTGATCGATAATGTTCAAACTTTAAGTATACATAATACATCATGTTGCATATAAGCATATTTATTCATATTTTATTCTGATTCAAAATCGCCCGTCGAATTGCTGTCTTCAAAATGTCATCAAATTCAAACATTTCTGCAATTCCGGATCCGGAACTCAGTCGTGCATGAACCTATTTAGTTTAAACTTGGTATACACTAAGTTATCCGATCGAATTCAGAATGACTAACTGATGGTCATTTTATTTTAGCGAATGCAATTCTGGAGCCATTCAAGTTGATATTCAAATTTTATATATTTCTTAACCTAACAAATGTGAAAACTGACGGAGACTATGATGATACAATTACTTGTTTAATGTTACCATTCTACTACATGTCACGCTAATTATTCAAATTATAACACGATGTTCTATTAACAGTTACCCAAACAGTCAGCTTCAACTTCGGCAACATAGATAACTGATGTTTTTATAGCTCCCCCCCGCCTGTGTTCATAACTTGAGCAATTCAGCGCCTCATTTTATCACAGAGGTAACATTGTCAGCTAATTTGCATATAGTGATGGGTACTGCTGCGTACAAGTCTACGTGCCTCTTCTCACAACGAACCGCTCTAATTAGCCCGATTAATACCATGGTTACCGTGATATAACACAATTCGTACAAACAAGTACCACGTGATACTCATATCAACTACTTAACAGTTCACAGTATGTAAATTTGTAGTAAAATTGACACTAACTTCAAATATTATTTATTCAGACATTTCAGTATATACTTCGTGGTTTTAAAGTGCCTTTATCGTTGCACACCAATCGTATGTACAGTACAAACTGAACTTGATCTCGTATTTAGTTTGCACGCATTTTTGTGACTGCATAACCGAAACCCAAATGTGTATATCTATGGGTTATTTTACTTTAAAATTCTCGTTACGTATTCTCAGGCTAAGTGAGCCAGGCTAGTTAGTACCGTAAAATGTTCTTTTAGCGAAACGGTTGTCGACATGGGTCCCATACAAATTACACTGTGCGCGTAACAACACGGAATTATGTTGCTTTATAATAGATAGCCTCGCTTTCTACACATACACACCGAATAACAAAATTCATATTTCCAAACTAACTACACCCTTTTCATATTCACACCGTACATTTAAATGTTCTTCATTTGAAAGCTGGCCGGTATGTGGGTAAAGGTAGAAATAAAAGAAAATTCGCACGCCGGCTTCATAACGAAAACAACAATTGTCAATAAAACAGCTGTGCCATCAGGCAGACCCAACGTGACTACATGTAATTAAATTATAATCTTATGAAAAAAATGGAGAGGATGTTCCACTTCGAGCCAGTCTCTTGGAAAAGTCACGTGATGGTGGCTGATGGTTGTATTTGTTGTCGTGATATGAGGCTACTATAACATGGGGAAAGGAATACAGTGTGGATCGATGCCCGGTGATTTTATTTCAACAATCAATATAACTTAATTTGTTTATTTTGTTTTGCTATTATTAGCATAACTTATCTGACACTCACATTAAACCATGGACGAAGAAATAGACAGATTCCGCGATATTCTAGAAGTCAATCGAACTGAAATCGTGAGAACGATCGACCCAGACAAACTGTTTCACGTACTTCGAGCTTGTCGTATATTCGATCAGGAAGATCAAGAAGAGATAAGTTCTCAAGTAAATTACCCAACTTTACAGAAACGTGCCGGTGAGTACTTTCCATTCAGTGTATTTGATCACAGTCCCCCAACAGTTGAGGGACTGTGATTTGATGCCGTATTTATATATATATATAAACTCGTGCAAACAAAATGGAAGAAACATATATCAAGTTCATATATTTTTCCTAGTTTTTTGTTTCCAGTACTCATCCCTAAGATAGGGTGTGACATGCATAAATGACAAAGTTCACCTGCTGGTACCAGTCACTGAGACTAAACATAATCCCCAGCGGGGGGGGGTGTCTCTGAATAAAATATGGTATGCAAGCTGAAGTAAAAAAACGCGTAAAAGAGGTGTTATTTGGCGCGTATACCGAACACGTGTACCGTATTTAGGGTCAAATAACTTAGAATATAGTAATAAAGTGTGAAAAAGGATTTTCATGAATTCAACTACGTGTTTAGAGGCTTTCTGGAAAAGCTATACTTCGGCATGGGTACCAGGTCTGACTTGGAGTAACCCCCCGGACATAATCATAGACCCTCAAGCTTGGTCTGTAACATGACATAACTGTACTGTTAGAGGGCGCACTACGAATTTACATTTTCCGAAAAAGAAAAACTTGCCGTTGAGATTTTCCGTTTGTTCTCAAAGTGTCGGTGTTACAATACATGGCACCATGTCTGATTTCCCATTATCGGAGCTTTTCTGCAGTGTTAGGCTGATCATGATCCAGCATAGTGACAGAAAGTTTCAACAAAATCGCCGTTTTTTTCCCCACAGGACGATTTCTGGATATCCTGGCAACGAAAGGGCCAAACGCGTTTGATGTCTTCTGTAAGAGTTTAGAAGGCACATATCCACATCTATACAAGTTGTTGACCAACAAAGAAGCCAGTGAGTTCTTACCTGTAGGTAAGTAATACAATAATTTTTATTCATTCATGTTTAACTTTTCATCGTTTCCAATCAGAATGCCAGAAACAGTTGGGATGTATTTATTTCCGGGTAGCCTTGTCAGAACACAGGCAAGCAAGACTCGACTGAATCTAGCAGACAAACCCAGCAGACAATGGAGGCGAAGGAACTATAAAAGTAAGCCTAGCCTGTACGAAGGGTATTGGCTGTTATCTATAGTGTATACAAATAGTCAAGGAATAAAGAGTACATTTTTAGTCCCCGTTCAGAAGGAGTCCGAAAATGGGGACTTATGTTTTGACCTCCGTGCGTCCGTGTGTCCGTGCGTCCGTGCATGCGTCTGGACCTGTCTCTTAGAAATGCCTGGACCAATCACAATCAAACTTCACACATACATCATACATGACATTATACATATGTACATTTTGTTTTTCAGATGAGATTCAAAATGGCCGAATGTGGTTCTAGGGCCATATCTCTGACATGCTTTGACTGATTATGTTCAAATTTTTAATATTTATTATACATCATGTCATAGATATACAGATATATTGGTTTCATGATCCTATTCAAAGTGGCCGATTGGTGGCCATTTTTGTGCTAAAATAATCATCAAATATCAAGCATTTTTGGATGGATTTCGTTCAAATTTATAACATACATTAGACATTACAAGTTCCTGATGCACGTCATTTTATTTGTCATATCAGATTCAAAATGGCTGACTGGCGGCCATTTTGTTTTGGTGAATGGGCTTCTGAAGCTATATCTCTGACATGCTTTGACTGATTATGTTCAAATTTTATATATTCATTATACATCATGTTATAGATATATACATGTATTCAAAATGGCTGATTTGTTTTAATTAATGCTGTTCCAGAGCAATATCTCTCAATGTGGACAAGTACTTGTTTGACGATCAGATACAAATGTCATTTTAATGTTAAACAATCATCATAATCATATTCTTGACATGGTTATATTCCAGCTATATTACTATAAACAAAACTATATATCTTAAATTTGATAACTAACGGGGACTGTGCCATGCATGGTTTGTTTAAATTGGAAAAAACAGTCGCAAAAAAAGTCAAATGTAATTTATAATAAAATGCCAATTTCAAGAATATTAGTTGCTTTTTCAAATGTCTTTAATTTTAATTGGCAGATATTATCATTTACAAAGTGTGTACGTTATTTAGCATCCCCCGATCCAGGTACCATGAACTTTTGTTCAGTGGGACAGGTGGGACGGCCGTGGAGTTTCTCGGCATCTCAGTCAGAAACACTGTTGTGACCCATTAACTGAAGTCTCAGAGGCTGAACGCACCAGCCTCCTAGACCAGCAGACACAATTGTTGACGGGACATCGCACAGCAATGTGTGATACCCTGCAGTGTCATTTGGCTGTCTTGGCAGGGGCTACCTCTATGCAGCAATGTTGTGTTGCTGGGGGATCCTTTCAAAGCGGAAACAATCCGCCGGGAGGTAGACAGTTTCCTTCCAAAGGGTAGAAGACTCGGCAACATGTCCGGGCTTCTACACTTTGTAGTTCCAAAAGCTACAGGTGACTGGCGTCCAGTTCTGGATATAAGCAAGCTAAATTAGTATGTATACATACCAGGATGTTGAAACAGATGGTGCTGCTGTTGCATCAGTCGTCAGTACACATCAACCCATACCTAGACGACTATGGAGTGCCGTTTGTGCATTTATTTATATAGGGTTTTTAGGGATTTAAGCTCCTTATATGTATACAATTCTGTGATTTCTCATTATTTATAATTATATTATAGCATTATCAATACCAGTGGATTTTATGACGTCATTGCGGTAGATTATTGGCGATAATGTATTACATTTATATTGAGCATCAAGGCCCTGTCCAATGGATATGAATACAATGTTGTTTTCGAAAATGAATAAAGAAGAAACTGTTGAAAAAGAAGAGAAATTGTTAGATAACAAGTATTTAATACCAAAATCGGCATCAAATAAAACGGTCCATAACCAATAACAGCGGATTTCAATATCAAAATCAGACAATATTGTGAGGGCATCATCGTCTGCTCTGTATGCTAACGAGCGTTCAGTCGAAACGTTCCATCTAGTACGCGCACTTCTAGATTCCGCGACTGATGCTGGTGACCTCCTGTTTAGTTCGCCATATCGTGTTGATGAAGTGAGGTTAACCAGGGGTGATTTATCCAAGCAAATCCGATAAACGAACTGGGGGTACATTGTATGTCTACCAGTACAGAGAGATGAAATGATTCTGTTTTTGTAGTGAGTAGTACTACAAAATTTTCGAAACAAGATCGACGAAAGACCGACGTGACTTGTATTTCCTCAGCATCGACTCCCGATGAATGTAACAGTCCGGGCACAGTTTATTTATACAGTGAGATTAAAATCACTGTTGGCTCTCCTTCTAGGATGGCTAACACCCACTAGCTTTTTGGTCATGTTCGTTTGCCTGCTAACCCTGTAAGTTTCGTTTGGCTTCCATATATCTGTCAAATCCCCGCCCTCCTGTGGAATTTAAAATAATTATTACACAGGACAGTTGCCAATAATATCTACCTTAATTGTTTGAAAACACTAGTGGGATAGGGTAACTATGCAACTACAGGTTGCATACATATATACCCCGGGTATGCACCCCTACGCACAGTCGATCCAGCTGGACCACGGCAGCGATCTAGCATACAGTGTAGCGTACAGTGTAGCGACAACCCATAATAGACTCAAGAACATTTTGTGCTCCATATATGTACTTGGCTCACGCCTTGTACATATATGTCGCATAAAGTGAGCTTTCGCCCATTATGGGTTGGCAGGTTGTTCATTATTGTTTAAATATTGACATCTATATGTACATTTTATTATTTATAAATAATTTTACTTTCATTACTCAAATGTTATTTAATTATGAATTGAGATATGTTATACATATAACAAAAATTATGGACGTTGGTGCGTTTTCATGATTTATAAAAAAATGAGGGTTTCAAAGTTATTTATAAATAAATAATGCAAACCAGATTTGTACAGAGTCTTTGTATACAAATAATACAAATATTGACATGATTTACGAGTTCTAAATATTATTATAACTAAATAATGAAAATTGACATTTACACACTCTGCGCGACTAAAATCATCATATAGCAAAAACGGTGAAACCGGTGTGTTTGATTCATAAATAAATGGTTTTGGTTTACATTGCAAGAAATTGTATGCAAACCATCCAAATGTGGAAGCGATGTTTTTGTGCTAACATTTCTAGCTCAGAGCAACACCTACCAGAGGTGAGAGCAAGGAAGACTGTTTTCCACGTCAAATATTTCAGTGGTGCTATAATTCCAGCGGTTCCGCACATATTTGTGTTATTAGAAAAGCAGCACACTAAGTAAACAATGTTGAAATATTCAAAGCCAAAACAGAGTTGCATACAATTTGTGTTATTACAGTACCCCCGGATATACCGCCAGTAATAACAATTTTACTAGATGGATGTGCAGACCATGAAAGAAAAAGGTTGCTAAGGTAGCGCGCCAGTTCAGTGCGTAACTTGGGGTCAAACTTCGGTCAACACACACTTGATGTCAGCATCGCCGCATAGCAAGTTTAACAAAGTACTTGAAGTTCAATTGCGCCCCAAAATGATGTAGACGATTACTCAGTTGTCGCAGCGCTTGTTTTACCAAGTCCATGATACACCCCGTTTCGACTTTGACTTGCTTTTTCTTCTTAGTGCATGTTCTTTTTCACGTAAATGCAACCTCTCACCAATGTATTAAAACACTTTGAATTTATACTTATGCGGGATTATATTTGGTCATTTTAGCATGGTGCTGAAGAATTTTACCCTGGCGGCAGATGATTAGACCATGGCGACCCGCCCTACCAAATTCAACGCGTGGAGAACACTAAATTATACCTCATTTTCCCCTGTAGAACCAGATAGTACTTGCAGCACCGTAGTTCATGAAGAATTTTCTTACCTTGCACAAAAATATGAAAAACTTGCGAATGAGAAGCAACAATTGGTTACAAGATGCAATAAGCTGGTAAATGAAGCAGTTAAAATGAGAACTGAAAATGAGCGATTCAAGAAGAAGGCCGAAATATTACAGTATCAGAAGGCTCTCAATAAAAACCTGAAAAAAGCAAATAGAGATTGGGAAGAGAAGCTGTACCAAGCCACAGAGGAAAAGTATAATGCTGTGAAAAGATCTCTCGACTATCAGGAGGCAACAAAGTTAGCACAGGAAAAACTACGAGAGGTATAATTTTAATTACAAATTGACATCCTAAATAGTGTTCCATTATCTACTGGGTGCTCTCTTCATTTCTATGAGTGTTAGTGATATTTAGAACAGAGACAAGAAATGGGAATTAAACATTTCCATTAACATCATAATGTGAATTTGACTAAATTATTCATCTTTTGAGTAAATTTTGAAAACACATCTTAATTTAATATATTTACTGTTACTAATGACAGAGAGAGTATTGTTCTAATGTGCAAAATTCCCTGGCCATGGAAACCATGGTAACAGAGGATGTGATAGCAGTGGATATGGCGAATAGGAGCTATCACAATGGAAGACGAAGGATGATGAGTTATGGATCAGAAATATCCACAATGCATTGCAATATAAATATTCATAATTTCGTTGAAACATTCTCACCAATCAACTTGATGGTTTTCTATACAATGAAAGGAAGAATATATACTATGATTAGTATATGATTATATATAGGGACTGTGCTCTTACAAAATATACCTGCATAATTTCATCAGTATGTCCAAAGCTTAGAGCAATTAAGACCTCAAGACAATGAAAAATTAGGTTTGATTTGTCCAAAATTTGTAAAATGTTGCCCCAAATTTATGACTAGAAAATGAAAGAGCTAAACATTGGTCGTTGTCATGCAGTGCATGTTTGAATATTAGGTCCTATATTAACAAAGATGCTGAATTTGATTGTTGTGCAGATCAATGTGTACAACAAAAAGACACTACTGAGATTGAACTGAAATCCATTAAACGACTCTAAGTAGTCAAAATCAGTATTTAGCTCAGTTTGACTAAAACAAATGCATTGGGTTGTAGAAAATTTAATTTTATCAACATAGATCTTGCACATGCATTGTGTGACAATCACCTCCCTTATGACAGTTCAATTTATTTTTCAAATCAAAGGCACTGATGACTATAGATGATATGAAACGAGAGTTACACAAAGCAGAGGGAGAGTTTAAGCTGCAAAGAACCAGGACCACAAGACTACAGAATGAATTAAATGTCAAGCCAAAGACCCATGAAATTGATGAATATAAGAGAGAAATACGACTACTGAAAGCAGAACTAACACAGATCAGAAGTACACAGGTGATTTATTCACTAATACTATAAATCGCTTTAAATTTGTAAGTGGCAAATTTTTGTCAATCTTGAGATTCAGTGAAATCACACAAAAAATTGCATCCAGCATTGACAATTTCATTGAAGGTTCATAGAGTGGCAGCAACTTGGTGAAATGTTGTCTCATAGATACTGTAATCGTAAAATTACAAAAATTTAGATGTAAATATTTTAAATTTATATTTCCTGGTTATTGGACAAGAAACAATAAAGGAGAAAGATATGTGGAATTGTAAGTCAGGAGGTATGGACCTTGATGTACAGATTTCATAGCTATACAATACAATACAATAACACTTTATTATCACTGTAAAGAAGTTACATTCTTTTTGGGGCTCTGAGTAATAAAGTTAAATTAATAAACATGAACACAATTAGTTATAATAAAAGTATCAAAAACAAAGAAAGTTACTAAATGCTTCTTTGCAAGTTTGCATTATCAATGTATTGGAATAATGTTTTCAGTAAATGTTTATGAATTTGTCTGTTTTGTCCATGTAAATTAGTGAATATTTTGTTAAAGTCATCATAAAGAGTTTTTCTTTCAGAAGAGTAAGCTTTACAAGATGTAATGAAGTGAATTTCATCCTTTAATACATTGCATGTTTTGCATATTCTCTTACATCTTATGTTATAGGTCTCTCACGACCCACATCTAGATGCAAACAATGTGCTACCTGAGTGCAGTCACCAACTAGGGGACTCTGTGCCATGAATTGTGATTGTAATGAACCACTATTTTTTGGGGTTTTGCACTATACCTTAAAGATACTATCTATAAATCCCCTAATTACAAGTTGCCAGAATCTTGAAGTTATTATTTTGATATTTCTTTATTTTTTCAGTTTTACTGTTTGTTTTTATTACATTTGTTTATTTATGTCTTTACCTTACTAAATCCTCTGATGATTTAGTTGTGTAATAAAATTATTACTATTATTATTATACATTTTTGCAGATTATATTTTCTGCACTTTCCTTTTTCTTTTTTTCATTTCAGTCTAGCTTCCCCTTCAAATATACTGTTTTTTTCCAGAGACCTGTAAATTTGTCCATTTCTGTTCCCAGACTGTGCGTAACTCCATGGTGCTGGAGTGTGTAGATGAGAGAATGGCAATACTGGAAAAAGAAAGAGAGGAAGCAAGGACTGAATTGAAAGAGATGGTAGATGCATTGTATGAAGCAAGACAAGAATGTCATGCGGCAGAGTTGCAGAGAGACCAGGTACATGTATATTATGTTACTGACTGGAAGGTTTGTTTGATGTGGGTAGCGATTTTCAGTACTTGAATACGGCGAGTCTGTTCAAAATGCAGTAACTATCAACACATATTAACAGGTTCTTATAGATTGGCCATCATCTGTGCGTGTCCACCCATGCTACCCCCCCCCCCCTGTATCTTGGGCTTATCACACTCAAACTTCACATATCATAATTCCTGATAGTCGTATGAACGTTTGTTCATTTCACGATTTGATTCAAGATGGCTGAATGTCAAGCATCCTGTAGTATAATGTGTCGATGGGACAACATTGTAATTATTTCTTTTTTCTTTCCATTTGCAACCCACCTGAGCAGATGTTTCATGTTTTTAGCAACTAAACCGAGTGAAGATATATCTAACATAAAAATCATTTTTATTATTCTTATAAATAATTTTTGACAACCTCTATAAGTTGATACATTATAAAACATTCATTTTTGTATGTGAAAACAAATATTGCTGCTTGAGTATTTATTTTCAAATATTGTATATGTTATATTGAACTAGATTGAAGCTGCATTCTTTCATTTCAGTTCTTAGAGAAAACTGAGAAATTGGAACAAGAAATAGAAACTTTGCAGAAAGATTGTGAAACTTATCTTAATCGAAAAGATGAATTATGGAAACAGTTGCTGGAAAGAGAGAAGGAACGAAATACGGTATGAATTGTCTCAGAGTTTAATCTTCTTATCAAATAATCCAATCATTATCATCATAGTATATTTACTTATTTTTTTTGTCTAATCATATTTCTAATAGTCTGTTGGCATCAGTGTCAACTTTTTACTTTTTCTGTTTGCTTTGATAATTGGTGTATAATCCAGGGTAGACCTCCCTTTGATTTGTTTATTTCATGGTGATATCTTTAATTCTCTAATTTTGATGAATATTTTGAAAAAAGTGAATTTTTGACTTTTTGTTGATTGAGTCAAATTGCTTTGATATTATACATAGGTACGTCAGGTAGACTTCTCTCAGAATTGTTCATTTGGAGATATCTGAGCCAGAAGGCAGAAACAAGAACTAATATGTGCTATATATACTATTTTTAGTCCCCGTTCGGACGAAGTCCGAAAACGAGGACTTATAATTCGGTCTCCGTCTGTCATATCTCAGTCATATCTCAGAATCCCTTGGACCTATTCCGTTCATTCTTTGCATGTGCCTAGTACTTTATGTGGGACATGTGCACATGCAGTGGTTTAGCGATTCGATTCAAAATGGCTGACTGGCAGCCATCTTGGTTTTTGAAAATGTTGTATTTTGGACATGCTTTGTCAGTTTTCATTCAAACTTGGTACATAGATTATACATGTTAGGAAACATGTCCATGACGATTTCTTTCACAATTGGATCAAAGATGGCCGACTGGCAGGCATCTTGTTTTGTTTTCTATATGCGGTATCTTGGACATGCTTTGTCAGTTTTCATTCAAGTTTGGCACATACTTTATACATGCTAGGATACATGTCCATGACAATTTGTTTCTAAATTAGATCAAGGATGGCCGATTGACAGCCATCTGACTTTTTGGCCTTACTACTATATTTCCACAATTTATGTACCATTTTCATTCGTATTTGGCACATACATCATACATGTCAGTTTGTTTCATAATCAGATCAAAGATGGCCGAATAACGACTGTTTTTATTTTTGACCATATTACTACTACACGGAACACGTGTTTTGATGTAAATAAATCTGTTATATACACCACCTTGGAACCCCTCCGCTTTAATATGACGAGCACAAAGAGAACTTTCAAAAATTTAACGGGGACTGTGTCATTTTCAATGACTTGTTCATTTATTATATGCACTGTTAACCTTATGGCAGTTCTAGAGACATTGCTAATTGCTACTTTGTTGCACTATAATAGGCTATAAAAGAGAGAGATAACGCTCTGAGAGACTGGACAATCAAGACTCAGGAGAGAGACGATATCTTTGGACGGTTTTATAAACTGCAGGAAAAATATGACACTCTTGAACAGCAACTCCGGATGATTAGATCCAATACTTGCTATATGGATTCAGAAAGTGAACCAAGTTTAGGTAACCAGGTAAGAATTGGTTTGAATGAGCAAACATTGCTATATGGATTCAGAAAGTGAACCAAGTTTAGGTAACCAGGTAAGAATTGGTTTGAATGAGCAAACATTGCTATATGGATTCAGAAAGTGAACCAAGTTTAGGTAACCAGGTAAGAATTGGTTTGAATGAGCAAACATGCACAAATATTTGCAAAACTCAACACTATGTCACTGATCATAAACTGTAATAATTATATAATTATAACTTTTTAATTACAGACACCTGCTCAAAATGAAGATGAATCATCTTTTTCAAATAACATTTGGCATCGACCAAGATCAAAGAGATTGGCACACAGGCAGATTTCTGTGACAGAATCAGCCCCAGAAAATGAAATGCCAGACTATGATGTTGCCTTTGCAGATTTTAGAGCTTTTCGTTCTGATGATGATACATCTTTGTCTTGTAAAGTTCATCCATCATCATCTAGTAGACGAGTTCTGGAATCAAAGAAAATATTCTCCAGGTAAAACTTGTTACTATTTCAGTGGCCATTGATATAGTATATTTTACAGTTACACCCCTTTAACTCTTAAATTACACGATGAGATACTGGCAGATGTTGACAAGTAACTCGAATTGGTTACCAAGTTTGTTATAAAATTGCACCTGTCTCATAAACAATGTGGTGACAACCAACGTGTGATTGACAGTCATGCATAAAAAAAAAACACCCTTGCAAGGCAATGTTTATCCCATTAGAATGGATGGCGTTTGCAAATTTACAGATACTGAATCTAAAAAGCATTTTACGTGTTGACATCCTTCCCATGAGTATGTGTGTGGAGTGTTTGTTTGTATGGGATTAGTTTTCATTGGTTTAATATTTTGTCAAGATGGCATGAACCTGAGATGTTAATATAAAAGTACAAACAGTATTATTCATACTATGGGAATTGTAGAATTACTTCAATATACATATTAATGAAAGTTGGTTATAGCAAATGTCCTTTTAAGATTTTGTTGGTTTAATAAGCAACAAGGTGGAATACATCGGTATAATGCAGCTATGTGTATTTAAGTTTGATTTGCCACAGAACAAGCATTTTGCAGAGGCCGCATATGTACATGTATAATTGTAGCAGTATCACCAGCGCTATAACATATTCTAACATGGCTGAAGTCACAGATGTGTTTATTCAGACAAATTTTGTCAATGATATGTTAAGGTAGAAGCCTATTCATAATTTTTGAGAAATTTGGCCATAAAATCAAATGACAGTGTTAGTTGGTTTATTATGTAAAATCACAAAGGTTCCATTACATAGTATTTTTCTGTGTGCTACAGTGACGTATTTTGAGAAATTTGTTCTAGTTTTTAATTCCATATATTGTTGAAGAAAAATTGATTTTTGAAATAATTCAAGACGACAAATAGTATTCCATAATTCACAATATATGATTTTTTATATAATTGTTGCCATAGAAACCTATAGTAAAAGCGTTATAGTAAGCCACTCTGCACTAAAATACAACCATCATTTTCCCGAAAATTAGTCTAGTGACCCTTAACTTATTTTATGTCAATATCTCCATAATGCTAGGGAGTATAATTCATTGCAAAATAAATCAATTCTGCGTATTTGCATTTATGAGTAGGCTTCTACCTCAATTTCACAAGTTGCTAGGAAGGTCCCTGGCATATTGACTGTTTAATGTGTAAATGTTTTGTTAAACAAATAAGTAAATGTTTTGATGATAATTTATGACCCGCTTCTATAAGTAATAAAAAACAATAATGGATGGCCTGCCAACCTATACTAGACAAAAGCACACTTTGTGTGAACTTATTTATGTATGTGTGATGTGTGAGCCAAGCTTATATATGAATCATAAAGTGTGCTTGAGTCCATTATTGGTTTTTGATGAGTTCATTATTGTTATTAGTTTTTAGTGTTGTCAATACCAGTGAATTTGCTGCCACTATAAACCAGAAAACTTGAGGAAAAGTTTACAGTGAACAAAACAGTTTCACAGTCACTGGCCCTGAATCTGCATAATTCATAAACATCATTCTTGAAATCTGTTTACAGAATCTCTTATGACAAAATAAAATAAGAAAGAAAACAACCCCAGGTAGTTTTAATCCATCAATATTGCGGTATTTTAAATCATTTACATTACAAGTGAACAAGAGACTGATGTGTGGTATGGAGTAGCCTTGTAGTGATTT